AGTGGATGACGGGCATAAACAAGGGAGACATTAATAAAGTACTGAGGGTGTCGAACCAGGTAAGAACCAGGAATAATGGATTTAAGTTGGATAAATTTAGATTTAGAAAGGACATAGGTAAGTACTGGTTTTCTAACAGAGTTGTAGATGCGTGGATGCTAGGACCTTGGGTAGCTTTAAGAAGAGACTGGACAAATATATGAGTGGGAGGGGCTGGGTTTGATTGGTGTTGGGGGGTGCGGGAGTTGTTTCTTGAGTAGCTTTAGGTAGAGATCGTTTTGATAAGGACCTGCCTCGTATGGGCCAGTAGGCCTTCTGCAGTGTTCCTACATTCTTATGTTCTTATGTTACCTGACCAACCTGGCTGTGGTTCGTGCGTCAGCTTGCGTGTGGCCAGCAGTAACAGCCTGGTTGACCAGACCCTGATCCACCATGAGGCCTGGTCTCAGACCGGGCCGCGGGGGCGTTGACCCCCGAAACCCTCTCTAGGTAAACTCCAGGTATATTGATCTAATTTCATGTAATTATTGTTCTCATTCTTTGATATGGATAATTTTCTCACTCATAAAACGTGAATAAAATGATCTAAATTACATTATTTTTATTGATCCATAACATAAGTTAAACAGTGTGCTTGCTCTGCAAACGCGAGAGATAAGATTTGTTCAGATTTTTTAACTGTGAAGGTTAGCTACCCAGGATAATCCAAGAAAATCACTGCTTCATCGAGAACCGTCTGTCTTATCTTCATTTGAGTCCTTTAATGATAAATTAGACACATGATGTGCAACTCTTGGGTATCTTTATTGAGGAAACGTTTTCCTCAATAAAGATACCCAAGAGTTGCACATGTGTCTAATTTATCAACGTGTCAGTTGTCTGAACCATTCATCTAGAGTCCTTTAATGTTGTCCCCCTAAAATGTGATCTACACAAGTCGACTTACATCCAGGTACCTACCTGCTGCTAGGTGAACAGGGGCAGCAGGTGTAAGAAAACATGCCCAACGTTTCCGCCCATGCCGGGGATTGAACCACGGACACTGTGTATGAGGTGAGTGCGATGCCAACAGCCACAGGACACTGCAGCCCAACCATCCAACAAGGTAGCACCTACCCTTAATCCCCCCCAAAACAAAAAATCGTGGCGCCGCCCCTGTTCGCATCGTAATAGCTTGATTGCTAGCGCACTTAGCTCACACACTGAGGTCAGTCCCCGGTACGGCTGGAAAACATAAGGATGTTTCCATAAGACACCTGCTGTCCCTGTTCACCCATCAGCAAAATGGGTACCTGGGTGTTAGTCGACTGGTGTGGGTCGCATCCTGGGACAAAATTGACCTAATTTGCCCGAAATGCCCTGCATAGCAAGCAGCTTTCTATATAATAGTACGTCACTGATATCAGCTAGGCCTGTATACCTTGTACATGTACAAATAAGGGTATTATTATTGCAAACAAATCACAGAATAGGCGGGACTGGAATCCATGGTGAGTTGTAAGACTAACTCCTTGAATTCGATCCCTACCGTTCTGTGATCTGATTTGTCTGAGACTAATCTCTGTCGATTGAGAATGGCTCACATTCTGCAGTGGGATACTATTAAGAACATAAGAACATAAGAGAGAAGGAACACTGCAGCAGGCCTACTGGTCCATTCGTGGCAGGTCCAAGTCTCCTACCGGCTTAAGCCAATGCCCCAACCTAGTCAGGTCAGGTCACATTCACTTTAGGAAGGAACACGGCAACTGACCCAGTAGCACAAGCTAATCAGGTCCAACTCACACAGGTCCAAGTCTCCTACCGGCTTAAGCCAATGCCCCAACCTAGTCAGGTCAGGTCATATTCACTTAAGGAAGGAACACGGCAACTGACCCAGTAGCACAAGCTAATCAGGTCCAACTCACACCCACTCATGTATTTATCTAACCCATTTTTAAAACTACACAACGTTTTAGCCTCTATAACTGTACTTGGGAGTTTGTTCCACTCATCCACAACTCTATTACCAAACCAGTGCTTTCCTGTATCTTTCCTGAATCCGAATTTTTTCCAACTTAAATCCATTGCTACGAGTCCTGTCTAGGCTAGATATTTTCAGCACGTTATTTACATCCCCTTTATTTATTCCTGTCTTCCATTTATACACCTCAATCATATCCCCCCTAATTCTACGCCTTTCTAGAGAGTGCAGATTCAGGACCCTCAGTCTATCCTCATAGGGAAGATTTCTGAAACATGGGATCAACTTTGTCATCCTCCTTTGTATGTTTTCCAGAGCATTTATATCCATTCTGTAATACGGTGACCAAAACTGTGCACCATAATCTAAATGCGGTCTAACCAAGGATATAAGATAAGATAAGATTTCGTTCGGATTTTTAACCCCGGAGGGTTAGCCATCCAGGATAACCCAAGAAAGTCAGTGCGTCATCGAGGACTGTCTAACTTATTTCCATTGGGGTCCTTAATCTTGTCCCCCAGGATGCGACCCACACCAGTCGACTAACACCCAGGTACCTATTTGCTGCTAGGTGAACAGGACAACAGGTGTAAGGAAACGTGTCGAAATGTTTCCACCCGCCGGGAATCGAACCCGGGCCCTCCGTGCGTGAAGCGGGAGCTTTAGCCACCAGGCCACCGGGCCTGAGGATTCCTATTATTTATGCTTCTTGATATGAAGCCAAGGATTCTGTTAGCTTTATTTTGAACTCTTATGCAATGTTGTCTTAGTTTCAGATTACTGCTAACCAGAACTCCTAAATCTTTTTCGCAATCCGTAATATTAAGATCTACATTATTTAGTTTATATGTAGCATGGTTATTTTCCTGTCCAACATTTAGAGCTTTGCATTTGTCTATATTAAACTGCATCTGCCACTTCTCCGACCACTGCATCAGTCTATTCAAATCTCCCTGGAGTGCTCTAATGTCCTCGTCAGAATGAATTCGACGGCCTATTTTGGTGTCATCGGCAAACTTGCTTATGTCGCTCTTTATGCCCTCATCAATGTCGTTTATGTAGATTGTGAACAACAAGGGGCCCAATACTGACCTCTGTGGAACACCGCTCATGACGCTTCCCCACTCTGATTTCTCCCCATTTATGCAAATTCTCTGCTGCCTATTTGTCAACCATGCCTCTATCCAGGAAAAAATTTCTCCTATTCCTATGGGTGGCCCGGTGGCCTGGAGTTTACCTGGAGAGAGTTCCGGGGGTCAACGCCCCCGCGGCCCGGTCTGTGACCAGGCCTCCTGGTGGATCAGAGCCTGATCAACCAGGCTGTTGCTGCTGGCTGCACGCAAACCAACGTACGAGCCACAGCCCGGCTGATCAGGAACTGACTTTAGGTGCTTGTCCAGTGCCAGCTTGAAGACTGCCAGGGGTCTGTTGGTAATCCCCCTTATGTGTGCTGGGAGGCAGTTGAACAGTCTCGGGCCCCTGACACTTATTGTATGGTCTCTTAACGTGCTAGTGACACCCCTGCGTTTCATTGGGGGGATGGTGCATCGTCTGCCAAGTCTTTTGCTTTCGTAGTGAGTGATTTTCGTGTGCAAGTTCGGTACTAGTCCCTCTAGGATTTTCCAGGTGTATATAATCATGTATCTCTCCCTCCTGCGTTCCAGGGAATACAGGTTTAGGAACCTCAAGCGCTCCCAGTAATTGAGGTGTTTTATCTCCGTTATGCGCACCGTGAAAGTTCTCTGTACATTTTCTAGGTCGGCAATTTCACCTGCCTTGAAAGGTGCTGTTAGTGTGCAGCAATATTCCAGCCTAGATAGAACAAGTGACCTGAAGAGTGTCATCATGGGCTTGGCCTCCCTAGTTTTGAAGGTTCTCATTATCCATCCTGTCATTTTTCTAGCAGATGCGATTGATACAATGTTATGGTCCTTGAAGGTGAGATCCTCCGACATGATCACTCCCAGGTCTTTGACGTTGGTGTTTCGCTCTATTTTGTGGCCAGAATTTGTTTTGTACTCTGATGAAGATTTAATTTCCTGGTGGCTAAAGCTCCCGCTTCACACACGGAGGGCCCGGGTTCGATTCCCGGTGGGTGGAAACATTTCGGTACGTTTCCTTACACCTGTTGTCCTGTTCACCTAGCAGCAAATAGGCACCTGGGTGTTAGTCGACTGGTGTGGGTCGCATCCTGGGGGACAAGATTAAAGACCCCAATGGAAATAAGTTAGACAGTCCTCGATGACGCACTGACTTTCCTGGGTGGCTAACCCTCCGGGGTTAAAAATCCGAACGAAATCTTATCTTATCTTATCTGCCTTAATTTTCCTCAATAGTCTCTGATGTGGGACCCTGTCAAAGGCTTACTGAAGTCCATATACACAATATCATATTCATTACCATGATCTACCTCCTCAAATACCTTAGTGAAAAAAGTTAATAAATTCGTAAGGCAGGAACGCCCCTTTATAAAACCATGATGAGATTCGTTAATTTGTGTTTTTCAAGATGACTACGAACTGCCTCGGCAATTATTGATTCCATATGGAGGTTAGGCTTATTGGTCTATAGTTCGAAGCTAATAAGCCTAACCTCCATAGTGGGAAAATTTATTGAATCAATAATTGCCGAGGCAGTTCGTAGCCACCTTGAAAAGCACAAATTTATCAACGAATCTCAGCATGGTTTTACAAAGGGGCGTTCCTGCCTTACGAATTTATTAACTTTTTTCACTAAGGTATTTGAGGAGGTAGATTATGGTAATGAATATGATATTGTGTATATGAACTTCAGTAAGGCTTTTGACAGAGTTCTATATCAGAGACTATTGAGGAAAATTAGGGCACGTGGAATAGGAGGAGAAATTGTATAGTTTCCCATAAAAAATACTCTTTAATTGATTCGTTTTCTATTATAGTGCAGTGTTATAGCATCGTTTCCCGTCAAAAAATAAATCTTGAATTGCTACGTTTTCTGTTGGATCGTAGTGTTATATCGTAGTTTCCTGTAAAAATAACTGGTAAAGTGTTAGGTTTTCTGTGTTGTAGCCTAGTGTTGGCCCAGCAGTGACGACATTGTTGTTATTGTTGGTGGAACGGCCGCCAGGTGACAGTGTGGGTGCCAGTAGCTCTGGCTACTGATGCTTGCCAGTAGTGACTCCAGCCACACTCACCACACTACTCAATCACCCTTTCATCTCTCGCTAAGCTGGAAGAGAGAGACGGAAGGGTTGTGAGAGGTGAGGATGGCGTCCCGGGACGGCCCTATGGTGGCGGGGACGGATGGAACGGACTTCGTCCACAGGGAGACTGTAGCAACACATTACCAGATTAGGTGAGTTGTAATATGATGCCCGATCCTGCAGTATTCCTGGCACCGCTTCATGGCACCTTGGCCACGTTTCCTCTCTCTGGCGGCCTTATCTCGCCCATTTGTATTGCTGTCATATGCTCACTATAACAACTTTTATGTCTGAATCACCATCTGACTTGGTGGGTGTTGTTGACCCCACAGGTTGTGTCTGAGGCTCGGGTACTTCCTGCTTGACGGGTTATTAACTACAGGTGATATTCAGGCGTCAGGTAGTACCAGTTGCTAAATATGTAATTAAGTTTACTTTAGGTACAGGTACACAAGTTCAGTTATTCCTAGTAACGTAAATTACCCAGGGTAACCCAAAAAAAGTCAGTGACATTTTCATTGGGGTCCTTGTAGTATTGACCACAGATGATGATCTTCTGGTGGTGGTGTTAGTCACAGGTGATGTTGGGTCTATAAAATCAGTGTGAATTTGTAAATGGTCTTGGTCAGACTGAAATGTCATCAATAGCTCCTCTCTCCTATGTGCGGGTTATTTGTGTATGATGTCTGGGGCTCGGATAGTTCCTGCTGGATTGGTTAGCCATTGGTGATGTCTAGAAATCAGATGGTACCCGCTAGTGTTGTTGGCCAGGGGTGGTCCGCCGGCGGTGCTGGCCAGGGGTGGTCCGCCGGCGGTGCTGGCCAGGGGTGGTCCGCCGGCGGTGCTAGCCAGGGGTGGTCCGCCGGCAGTGCTGGCCAGGGGTGGTCCGCCGGCAGCTCTGGCCAGGGGTGGTCTACCGGCGGTGCTGGCCAGGGGTGGTCCGCTGGCAGTGCTGGCCAGGGGTGGTCCGCCGGCGGTGCTGGCCAGGGGTGGTCTGCCGGCGGTGCTGGCCAGGGGTGGTCCCGGCGGTGCTGGCCAGGGGTGGTCCGCCAGCGGTGCTGGCCAGAGGTGATCTGCAAGATTGTATTACTGTCATAACATGACCTAAGAATTATTGAAATGTGGTACTGTATATTAATTACATGTTATTAAGTTTTCTGCACTATTTTTGGATTCTAAATACACAAAAGAATTTTTTGGTAGTTAATGTAATTTATATTCAGTATACAGAACAGTGCTGTACATGGATACACTGGTTATACTTGCAATAAAATTAAAGTTCTATTGAAACTGAAACACATACAAATTAGGGTTATACTGGTTCTCATAGGTAGGGATCACTCAGATTGAAAAACTACAGGTCAGTATCTAGCCAAACAATATTATCATAGTTATTTCAGAAAATTGCATATAAGCAGATATACTCTTGCTCTGTGCAACCCCTCGTACTAAACCCGTGTTTGGTTTTAGCAAAAAAAAAAAGTGCTCAGGTATCACTATTGACCCTTTCAGGGTTTCGGCTGTACTAGTACGGCTTATGCACCAGGGTTTTTGACGTACTAGTATGCCTAAATTCTAGCGCCCTCAAATCTAGTGAGAGAAAGCTGGTAGGCCTACATATGAAAAAATGGGTCTATGTGGTCAGTGTGCGTGGTTTAAAAAAAATCCTGCAGCACACAGTGCGTAATGAGAAAAAAAAAAACTTTGACCGTGTTTTTGGATTAAAACAGTGACTTTGCACTGTATTTTCATATGGTATTTATTGTTGTATTCTAGTTTTCCTGGTCTCATTTGATAGAATGGAAGACATATTACAGAAATTGAGATGATTTTGACTGGTTTTACAAAGAGAACTACCTTGAAATTGCACTCAGAGTAGCAGAAATGTTCGATTTTTATCAAAGTTCAAAAGTAAACAAATCATGCTATGCGTCCAATACATATCAACTGGTGAGTCTAATATTCTTTCACAAGTGCGCTGATAATATTTATACCATTTCTACACCAATGCAGTAGTCTGCATAACAGTAAATCTTCTATTTTTTTTGAGAATAAAAATTCAAAATGGAAAGCAAAAGAATGTAAGAGGGGCATGGGGACATGACTAATGAACAGAGGAAATGTTATTTTAGTGCCAGGAATGTCTTTCTTGTTTATTCTGGACCCTATTTGGAAATTGGCATCTTTTGAAATTTGTGTGAAATTGGCAAAATTGCTAAATTCTGACCATTGTATTGGATAGTTGAAATTGGTAAATGGGTGGTTTCTTGTACTTATTTGATAGAAAAAATGGAGTTCTAGCGAAATAATTATGATTTTTGCCAACAAGTACTCTGGAATTGGCCGAAAATAGGGCTCAAAGTGGGCAAAATCACCGATGCATAAACATCGTCGAGACCACTAACTGCGTGAGAGCATAATTCCGTAAGTTTTCCATCAAATTTCATACTTTTGGTGTCATTATGATCGGGAAAAGATTCTCTATCTTTTCACAAGGAAAAAAAAAATTATTTTTTTTTTTTTTTGAAATTTGGCCGACCCTGAGAACAAGTCTCTGAGAGGGCCTGTCAACCCTGAAAGGGTTAAAATGCTTAACACGGTTTACACAGCACATAAATGGCACTATTGAAACCCGTGAAACAATTTACTCGGCGCACAAATGGGACTATTAAAATGCTTGCCACAATCTACACATCACTTGAAATAAACCAGTATCCATTAGTATTTTTGACCTACAAAAATTTAATATTGTTGATGACAACATCCTCCTTAAACTAGAGAACTAGGCTCGAAGGCCATGCATTTTTCTTTTATTGGAATTTGTCCTAATGATAGATACCAACATGTGACAAACATTTCTTCATCTGTGCCCATAAATATTGGTGTCTGCAAGGAAACATTCTAAAGCCTTTCCTATTTTTTTTCAGTAAAAGGCATACCAAATGTGTCTGCATTTGCTCTTACTTAGCCTTCAGTAACCTACTACAGAAAGAATAAAAGGCAACAACTCACAGATAGCCCTCATTTTTGGAGAGAAAAGCTGAAATTATTTGACCAGACCTTGGCTTGCTTCTGCCTCTTCACCCAACTTGTCTTAAGGCTTTCTTGCCCTGTATCTCTCATGTACGACATACAAGTCTCATCTTCAAATTGTTAGTTTTAACTTATATATTTTGAAACAAACAACTATGTACAAAAATACTGTCAGGATGAATGATATATCCCAACAGAAATAAAGAAAACATGTAGATTCCTGTACTTAAACTTTTCTAACTAATTTGAGGTAGAAATGAGAATGACGGCATGGTGTTAGAATGTGAAGTAGGTGGGCACATAATTAAATCCACCAAACTTAATTTTTTAAACAGTACCATTTTAATTTTAAAATAACACCATATTCTAATTTGTATTTCTCTTGTGCTGTACACAAAGATAATGTAGTTGACATGTGATAAAACATTGTTAGCACAGAAGAAAACCACTAGTATGCAAATACACTTTGGGCTAACTAATTATAATGCTTAACCCTTTGAGGGTCCAAGCTGTGGATCTATGCCATGAGCTCAGCTCACTCGGATAAGCTGTGATCGGTAAATTTGGGCCTAGATATGAGAGAATGCATCTATGTGGTAAGTGTTCACCATATACAAAGTAAATCCTGAAGCACGCAGTGCTTCCGGTGTAATTTCATGTGGTTTTTAAGATTGTATTCGTGGTTTCTTGGTCTCATTTGATAATGGAAGATATATTACAGAAATAGAGATGATTTTGATTGGTTTTAGTACAGGTCGGCCATCACTAATTTGGCAATCGGTTATCCGGTTCCATCAGTAATCCGGCACTAATTTTAGCTAGCATAATTTCAAATTTCATCATTATACTGACTCAGAAATTGTGCAGATGGTTGTAAATCCACAGCAGCAAGCCAGTGGAGGAGAAAGCAGTGATGAAAATGAGGAAGATGTAGCAGAAAGTCTCTATTGTTGGGTTAGTTCACTTGACAGGTGGCCCGGTGGTCTGGTGGCTAAAACTCCCGCTTCACACACGGAGGGCCCGGGTTCGATTCCCGGCGGGTGGAAATTCCGACACGTTTCCTTACACCTATTGTCCTGTTCACCTAGCAGCAAATAGGTACCTGGGTGTTAGTCGACTGGTGTGGGTCGCATCCTGGGGGACAAGATTAAGGACCCCAATGGAAATAAGTTAGACAGTCCTCGATGACGCACTGACTTTCTTGGGTTATCCTGGGTGGCTAACCCCCCGGGGTTAAAAATCCGAACGAAATCTTATCTTATCTTATTGCTAAAAGATCTAGAGCAATGCAGTTTTATAAGTGAACAAGAAATAATGAATGTTTACATGCTGCAGGGTAAACTAATCAAAGAAAGGCCAAAATATAAGTGTATTTTAACCTAACCACTCTGTAATCCAGCAAACTCACTAATCTGGCACACTACAGGTCCCAGTGATGCCGGATTAGTGATGGCTGACCTGTACTGAAAATAGCTTGTAATTGAGCTCAAATTAGCAGAAATGTTTGATTTTTGCTGATTTTCAAGAGTAAACAAATCACATGACACGTCAACTAGTGGGTTTAATGTACATTTACAATTTCACTGATAGGGTTTATACAGTTATTACAATATTGCATAAGAGTAATTCATCAATTTTTTGGTATGAATAAAAATTCTTTATGTAAATGAAAAATCAAAATGGAATTCATCTGTAAAGCCTGGAAATGTAACTGATAAACAGAGGAAATTGTTATTTTAGTGCCAGGAATGCCTGCATTGTTTATTCTGGATGCTATTTTGAAATTGGAATATTTTGAGCTTTGTGTGAAATTGGCAAATAGTTGACTGGGCAGTTTCTTGTGCTCAATCGATAAAATAGAAGTAATACTAATGAAATAGCTAAGAATATGGTCGACTGGAATAATGTAATTGGCCTGAAATAGGAGTCAAAGTGGGCAAAATCACAGATATGTAAATATCGCTGACATAGTAAAATTCGCAATAGTGTAATTTCGTCAGTTTTCCACCAAATTTCGAAGTTTTTGTTTTATTACCTTCAGAAAAAGATGATCATTTCATAAGAATTTTTTTTTTTTTTTTTTTTTTTAAATTCTTGGACCCTGTGCACAATGCGTAGATCTATGGCTTGGACCCTCAAAGGGTTAAAGACTACTTTAAAATTAGACATAGACTATTAAGTAGGATTTTTTTGTGTAGCTAATCTGTTATATGCACAGGCGAGATTCCACAGTCACTAAAAGCAACAGATATAGCCCCACTCCATAAAAGTGGCAGCAAAGCAGTAGCTAAGACCTATAGACCAATAGCTTTAATGTCCCACATCATAAAAATCTTTGAAAGAGTTCTAAGAAGCAGGATAAACCACCTGGACTCCCAAAAATTGCACAACCCAGGGCAACATGGTTTCAGAGCAGGTCGCTCCTGCCTTTTGCAACTGCTAGACCACTATGATGTGGTCCTAGATGCACTGGAAACCAAAAAGAATGCAGATGTAGTATACACAGATTTTGCAAAAGCCTTTGACAACTGCAACCATGGTGTAATAGCACACAAAATGCGTGCTAAAGAGATAACTGGCAGAGTAGGCAGATGGATCTTCAACTTTCTAACCAATCACACACAGAGTAGTGGTAAACAGAGTTAAATCAGATGCTGCCATAGTGAAGAGCTCTGTCCCACAAGGCACAGTATTAGCACCTATCTTGTTCCTTATTCTCATGTCAGACATAGACAGAGATGTAAACCATAGCACTGTATCATCCTTTGCAGATGATACTAGGATCTGCACGTGAGTGTCATCCACTGAGGACACAGCAAAGCTCCAAGAAGATATAAACCAAGTTTTTCTATGGGCAACAGAGAACAATATGATGTTCAATGAAGACAAATTCCAACTACCCCGTTACGGAAAACTGGAGGAAATAATAACTAGGACTGAGTATACTACAAACTCTAATCACACAGTAGAGCAGAAAAATAATGCGAAGGACCTGGGTGTGGTAATGTCCGAAGACCTTACCTTCAAGGACCACAGCAATGCCACTATCACATCTGCGAGGAAACTGATAGGATGGATAATGAGAACATTCGAGACAAGAGATGCTAAGCCAATGATGATCCTTTTCTAGGCTGGAATACTGCTGTACATTAACATCCCCATTCAAGGCAGGTGAAACTGCAGATCTAGAGAATGTACAGAGAACCTTTACTGCACGTATAAGTTCCATCAAACACCTTGACAACTGAGAGCGCCTGGAAGCACTTGACTTGTACTCACTGGAGCGCAGGCGAGAGAGAGATATATCATAATCTACACCTGGAAGATTCTGGAGGGACTGGTCTCTAATATGCACACAGCAATCTCACACTATGAAAGCAAAAGACTTGGCAGGCGATGCAACATACCCCCAGTGAAAAGTAGGGGCGTCGTTGGTACACTAAGAGAAAATGCAATGAGTGTCTGGGGCCCAAGACTGTTCAACTGCCTCCCACCAGCAATAAGGGACATTACTGGAAGACCCCTGGTTGTCTTCAAGAGGGAGCTGGAAAGATACCTAAAGACGGTGCTGGATCAGCCGGGCTGTGGTTTGTACGTTGGATTGCATGCGGCCAGCAGTAACAGCCTCATTGATCAGGCCCTAAGTCACCGGGAGGCCTGGTCATGGACCGGGCCGCAGGGGCATTGATCCCCAGAATGCCCTCCAGGTAGCCTCCAGGTAGTAAGAAAGGTGGCTAAATGAACAATGATACTTTTAAAAATTGTATCATATGATCAATGCAATAAATTTAAATAAGTCATAGGTTTAATGTTATTAACAGTGGGTAACAATGGTAAGCTGGGAGTTGGTATATCGTATTTTCTTGTTTTAATTTTAATGCTTTTGTGCGGTATATTATATTACTTCTGAGTTTATTGACAATTTTCATAGTACATATCTGTCTTCAAAAAAATTCAAATAGCCATACCATATGACATCTCTTCCTAAATAAAATTTTCCGTTGCAGCCAGAACCTTAGTTGTTCATTTATTTACAAATTAATAATTAATTATATTGTACTAATGCATGTTTAATTTGTTGTCTTATTCCAGAACTGAAAAGGAAGAGTTGTTTGCAATTATATTTTATTTTCTTTGTACTGTATGTTGCTAGTTAAATTTTTATGCTCTTTAACGTTAATTTTATGATGCCTCTAATTCAGAGTTTTCCCATAGATTAAGTGTGGTAAGAGAAATGCACTACCTATATAACTTCTTGTATCACTCTTTGTGCTAATATTATATTTGGTTGTTGCAGCTGGCCTTCAAAGAAGAAAATTTCAGAAGTGTAAGTGATAAGGTGGCTACTTGTCTTTTGTCAGCCAGTTTTTTGTCAGTGTTACCATATATTGTTTTCTAACCATCTGTATCAGTGTATCTGGTGCAGCATATAAATATGTATCCAGTTATAGAATCTACATGTATAACTATAAATTGCTTACTGCACCTTCTAACCTTTATGCTGCAGTTATGTAAGATTTAAGATGCATTCGTAAACTCATTGGACTGTTACTACATCACTGTGCATTAGTTTGAATGTATTAATTAAACCAGTGGCTTACAATGTTTAATACAGAGCTAAATGATTTCAGGAATTATAGTTAAATTGCGATATTCATTATATCTGCTGAAGTCTATGCTATGGTTTAGTATATTCACTGGAGATTTAAGGAAAGTATCTTGAGCTAATTATAATTTAAATTTGTTTTGATATTTACTCTCATTCAGATATTTAGGGAGGTAATTTTGTAACACTGAAATGCTGTACTGTTCTGTTCGTATAATGTTATAAATTGGCTATATTTTATTTTGTACAGTTTCCATCAAAACTAGGCATGTCATCGAGGATGAACAATCCTGATAAATTCCGATAAGCTTTCTCCAAATATCTATTGATAAATTGGTATAGTTTCATACATTTTACATAGTAAAAAGTTTTTACACAAATGCATACTACCTAATGTATTTTTCTTTTGTTGGGATGATAGGCTACATCTTAGGTTCATTTATGTTCATTCACCTTGTCTATGACTAAAATTTGTTTTAGCCATTTATATAAAAACTAAAAGTATCGCTGACTTTATGCAATAAATGTATTCTAGGCCCATGACAGCTGTAGTAATTTCAATTGGGTCATCAATGCTTAATTCTTCATTACATTGTGTTATGGAGAGCACTGGTTTCACGGGGTGAATTTGCTCTGCATAGGGAGTTATTGGTAGATATGGGGTATGGCAGACTTGAGTCCTAGAAATGAAATATACAATTCCTGCACTCTTAAGGAGGGTTTGGAATATTTACTGTTTAGAATAACATCTAAACTGTCATAGCTGCATTCCTCTGGCAAGACAGTGATAGTGTTTCTTTTTTTGGGTCACTGCCTAGGTGGGAAATGGCCAGTGTGTTTAAACAAATGGCGTATGGCATGACAGTGAAAACACATACAGTATTAACATATTCATGCTGTATATTGGTTCAGTGGCAAAGTTGACAAGCTAGTAAATGTAGGGCCACTAGACTCTAGGTTCACATTACAATTACTCCATTGAAATACTGTTACACAGGCTCTTCTCTTACCTTGTTGGTGTATATTCTAGTATTGTTTGTTGTCTTCTTTAGACACTACTGTACTGCACATAACATAGTGCTGTACTTTTCTCTCATGTCAGCATTATCTTTAACCCGTCAACGGTCCAAAGACGTCAGTTCTACGTATTCTTTTTTTTACATATTTCAATATAACAAAAAAAAAGTAGATCAAATTTTTTTTACACATTTTCAAATGTAAAAAACAAAAAGAAGATCTACTTTTTTACCCACTTTAAAATGTTGAAAAAACGTATATATACGTTTGGACCGTTTACGGGTTAAATTCCATCTATTTTCTGCATTGTGTCAGCTTGATCATTAAATTCCACCTTTTTTTCACATTTTCACTTCGATCCTTTTTACCCCATTTTATTACACAGAATAATTATTTTTCTACCTCATACTGAATCTTTGCATTAATCCATCTAGACCTTGTATATATTTACCTACAGGAAATGAATCTCATATTGAAAAAAAAAGGCTTTAAGTAATTTTTTCACATCTTTTCACTGTTTGATATCACAGTACAGTATGCAAAATAACTGAAGGATTTTTATTTTTTGTTTTGAGAGGGAAATGTGTAATGGCTATTTGACAAGACAAGTAGCCACACGAGTGTCAGGCATTTATCCCTGTTACTTGTGATATGCTGTATGCTTGATGCATGTTCATCCTTGAGATTTGCTTTACCAGAGAGGGTAGATTAAAAATTAAACATGTTTTTGCGTACTTGTTATTTGCTCGGAACTTAAACATGATCCATGGATTTATTACTGAATAGTATGTTAAAGTTATCGTCTTGCACTTCATAGAACCTAAATTTATCACCTGTGGCTTGTTAAATAATATTGAAACATCCTGACAAACACACAAGCATAACTCCTACAGTCAGGCACTTGTTGAAGGACAGATGAGAGTGGAATTACATTTCGTATATAGTACATGATTTTTCACTTTGTTTCTCCTACATTCTAGATTGAGGCTGTATGAATGGGCAGAAATACTCTCTGGTGTTTCACCAATTGCAAAATCTAATAAAAACATTGAAATTCCTCATTACTCCTCTTAACCCCTAAACGGTCCGAACGTATATATACGTTTTTACCGCTAGTGCCCCAAACGTGTATATACGTTTTATGTGTCCTACATTTAACATTGCCACGATAAGCCTGAGTTGCCTAGACATGTGAGAATGGGTGTGAGCACTCACTGTGCACCATATTAAAATAATTGGGGATGCCTGGGTACCATATGCTCTTTTTTCCTATTAAAAAACAACAATTTTTTTTTTTCTCAAAAAAGTTGGGGCAGTACGGTAGTGAACGTATATATACGTTTGGACCGTTTACGGGTTAATAAAATGTATGCATGAGCTGTGTAAAGACAAATTGACGAAGGTTTCATTAGGTTTTTTAAATTTTGGATAAGACAACAATGTGACAGTGATTTATTTATCATTGGCGGTACTTTATCTAGGATGGTATCCACAATAACTGGCTGACACTGTACCTTTATTAATGCTAGGTTAAAATAGGCAGTAGGCGTATGGAGATTTGAATATACTCTTCATCCTGTATAGGAATCAAACCTGGGTTCTTTCAGGTGTCGACTGCAAATTTGAAAATTAACTAGAAGATGAAGATTTAGTAAGAAATAACTTTGTAACTTGCAAAAACTTATGTACTGCAACTGGATCTGGTGTTAATTGTTTTATTTAAACCTTCGTCTAAGGAAAATCTTTTTATTTTTTATTCATATCCTCTTTCCCCCATCCCCATTCCTCTCACTTCTGAAACATTTTTTTTCTGTTAATTGTTTTTAATGACAGGCATCCCACAAATTTGCACGGGATCACATTGCTGAAAGTTCCACTAATTCTGCATAATTAAGTATATTATATAACTAGTTGGTTCATATTTTGTTCATTTTACGGCGGAGACCATATCTCTGTGATACATCACGTAATCTGGTCACTGTTGACATTTATAAGAAATAATGACCAGTAAAAGATAAAGTAGACCGTTATACAGTGGACCTCCGCATAACGCTATTAATCCGTTCCTGAGAGCTCAATGTTATGCGAAATTATCGTTATGCGAATTAATTTTCCCCATAAGAAATAATGGAAATCAAATTAATCCATGCAAGACACCCAAAAGTATGAAAAAAATTTTTTTTATCACATGAAATATTAATTTTAATACACACAAACTTAAGAAAACATGCACAGTTACATGACACTTACCTTTATTGAAGATATGGTGATGATTGATGGGATGGGAGGAGGGGAGACTGGATGGTTTTAGTGTTTAGAAGGGGAATCCCCTTCCATTAAGACTTGAGGTGTCAAGTCCTTTTCTAGGGTTGCTTCCCTTCTTCTTTTAATGCCACTAGGACCAGCTTCAGAGTCACTGGACTTCTGTCGCACAACATATCTGTCCATAGTGGCCTGTACCTCTCGTTCCTTTATGACTTTCCTAAAGTGTTTCACAACAGTGTCAGTGTAATAGTCACCAGCACGGCTTGCAGTAGCTGTCTGAGGGTGATTTTCATCCATGAAGGTGTGCACTTCAAGCCACTTTGCACAGATTTCCTTAATCTTTGAAGTAGGCAACTTCTTCAATTTCTCTCTCCCCTCCTCCGAAGCAATTTCCTCAGGTGTGGCCTCTTGCTGTTGAAGTTGATCTAGCAGCTCATCAGTGGTTAGTTCTTCATTGTCCTCCTCCACCAACTCTTCCACATCCTCCCCACTAACCTCCAACCCCAAGGACTTCCCCAATGCCACAACTGATTCCTCAACTGGTATAGGATTCTCAGGATTCTGAAGGATTCAAATCCTTCAGAATCCCTTTGGTCTACACATTCTGGCCACAGTTTCTTCCAAGCAGAGTTCAAGGTCCTCTTAGTCACTCCCTCCCAAGCCTTACCTATAAGGTTTACACAATTGAGGATATTAAAGTGCTCTCTCCAAAACTCTCTTAGAGTCAATTGAGTTTCTGAGGTCACTACAAAGCCCCTTTCAAACAGAGCTTTTGTGTACAGTTTTTTGAAGTTTGCAATAACCTGCTGGTCCATGGGCTGCAGGAGAGGAGTGGTATTAGGAGGCAAAAACTTCACCTTAATGAAGTTCATGTCCCCACAAAGTCGCTCTGCCAAGTCTGTAGGATGACCAGGAGGCACTTAAGGTCTAATTTCTTTTCAGTTAGGTAATTTTTCACAATGGGGGCAAATGCTTGGTGTAACCAGTCATAGAAAAAGTCCCTAGTGACCCATGCCTTATTGTTTGCCCTCCACAGCACACACAAATTAGCCTCGAGGATATTCTTTTGCCTGAACGCTCTGGGAGTTTCAGAGTGATACACTAATAAAGGCTTCACTTTGCAATCACCGCTAGCATTGGCACACATGAGAAGAGTAAACCTGTCTTTCATAGGCTTATGTCCTGGGAGTGCCTTTTCCTCCTGAGTAATGTAGGTCCTGCTTGGCATTTTCTTCCAAAACAGGCCTGTTTCGTCACAATTAAACACTTGTTCAGGTTTCAGTCCTTCACTGTCTATGTACTCCTTGAATTCATGCACATATTTTTCAGCTGCTTTTTGGTCCGAACTGGCAGCCTCTCAATGCCTTATCACACTATGTATGCCACTACGCCTCTTAAATCTCTCAAACCAACCTTTGCTGGCATTAAATTCACTCGCA